AGGCCAGTTCCCACCTCACAGTGAGCCCCCAGCACATCCAAGCCCCAGTTCCTACCTCACAGTGAGCCCCTACCACACCCAGATTCCAGTTTCCACCACACAGTGAGCCTCTGTCACACCCTGATTCCAGTTCCCACCACACAGTGAGCCTCTGTCACACCCAAGCTTCAGTTTCCACCTCAAAGTGAGCCCATAGCACACACAGACCCCAGTTCTACTTCACGGTGAGCTCCATTTCCCACCTCACAGGCAACCCCTGTCACCAGTCTTGTGGGTGACTTGTTCACAATGTCATCACCTGTCTCAGGTGTCTCTTGCAGATTTCCAGGCTCTCTGTTGTCTGTCCCTTCTCTCAGCACATGGCTCCTGGAGTCACATAATTAGCACCCTGTACTAGGCTCCAGCATGGTGAGGCCCAGAGGGGCTCTGCGGTGGGTCTCCACACTTTCCCAGACTCCCTCTTCAACTGCAGGTAAACACTCTTTACCTCAGTTTCTCCGCTGCCTCACTGCCTTCCTCCCTCAGGCCCACCCAAGCCAAAGCAACATCAAGTTTCACCAAAGTCCCTACTCAAAACAATCCCAGGGCTGACAGAAGCTAGCTTGGAAGAAGCTGTCAGGAGAGCATCGTTCTGGGACAGGTTGGGGGTTACCCAGGGCGGGGTGTTCAGAGCCCTCAGAGTCACAGACACCGGCTGTCACCAGAAACAGCAGATGTTTAAAAGCCTTTATGTAACGACAACAGGAAGCGCCCGTTTCCTGCTTTTCCTCAGTGAGACTATCTAGGATAATTTTAGCAGAGGAAGCCACTTTTTGAAATAGCTAACACTGGTTTTATTTATATGGAAAGCATATTTCAAGCAGACCCATGCCCCTGAGACTTGAGTCTAATGATGTCGATCCTCAAGGCTCAGAACAATTGAATATTCCATTGCTGTTTGTTGACTGAATGAGTGAGCACGAAAAAAAAATCCTCAGAACAACTTAATGAAGTGTCCCTCTGGGTTGGAGGACTCGAGATGCTTCCTGAGTAGAGCGCACTAAGCATAGACTAAGACAAGTGAGCGCTGCCACAGAGAGGCTGAGGGAAAGGCTGTTCCAGGCAGCAGGGGCAGAGGGCAAAGGGGGAGATGGAAAACCTAACTTTTCATTACTGTAACGAAACACTGGACATCGTCTGCTTATAAAAAGGAAAGGAGAGCTCCAGCTGGGCTCACGACTTCAGAGGGGTCAGTTTATGGTCATTGGGCCTGTGGCAAGACAGTATATCCTGACAGAAGCACACAGCAGTGCCTACTAGCAGTTCATGTCAGAGCTGAGAAACAAAAAGCAGAAGAAACCAGGATCCCATAGTTCCCTTCCAAGACACATCACACATACAACTCACCTCTTAAAGGTTCTAGCACCTCCTGACAGTGCCACCCTGGGGACCTACCTTCAACATATGGGCCCTTAGGGAATAAACATTGCAGACCTGAACCACTGCAGACGCTGCAGAGAGCCCCCATTGGATTTATGAGAGAAAAGCCTGGGAGGGGGCTTGAAGCCTTGTGCTTCTCCCAGAACTGGCTTTTTGTGGTTTTGGTTGGTTGGTTGGTTGGTTGGTTTTGTTTGTTTTTGTTTGGGGCTTTTTGTTTGTGAGTTCAAGTCTAGCCTGATCTACATAGATAGATACACACACACATACACGCACATAAACACACACATTGTACAGCACAGCCACAAAGCCCCCCACACCCAGAGCTTTCTCTGTCTGTTTGCCCTGAGATCAGCAATGTGGGCAGGACTTCTCTCTGTGTTCTATATCTACATGGCCTAAGCCCCTGCACACTCCCTCATACCAAAACCTCAGTTGTTTTTGACAGAACAGAACGGGCTCAAACACTCCTTCCTCCAGGAAGCACTCCCTGGTTTCTCCTCCACTCAGCTTCCCCTAAGCTTTCCAGAGCCCTTAGTCTCAGCCTGCACTGAAGTCTGTGTCTCCTAAAGACCCCATCTCTGTAGGAGAGCTCAGGTATGACAGAGTAACACTCCGTCTGAGAAAAATAAAGGTTCTTTGAAAGAACAAGCCAGACTCCTAGCTTCGTTGTGGATCAGTAGACCGTGGAGGAAGGGAGCACCCCATCACCAGGGGTGTGCAAGCAGAGTCTAGGCCAACCATCTGCTGGGGTTGCCTAGGACAGATCTAGGCAATGACCAGAGGGGTGGAATCAGGTGATGCAAAGCTCCTTTCCACTCTAGGACCTTCTATACACTTGACTCCCTCCTTAGGGACAAAGCCATACAAGGTACAGGTTTCTAGAAGAACAGCAGCTCTGGGGCTCAAGGCAAGTGTGCTGCCTCCTGACACACACATACTCACACACACACATATATATACACATATGTCATATACATAATCACATACGTACACATATATCATACACACAAACACACATGTATACACACATACATACAGTCACATACATATAGCTGTACAGAGTCTCACGCACATACAGAATACACACACATGCTTACATACATTCTCACACATCACACGTATATAATACACATGTACATATAGTCACATACATAGTCACACACACACACACGTGCAGGCACACGCACATGTGTGTGCATACATGCTGTGATCCTGTATCCTCATCTCCCCCTCGTGAGGATCCCAGTCCTGCCCTCATTTCACCTGGACCACCCCAAAGGCACTTTCTCACAGTAAGGTCTTGTCACAGACAGAGCAGAGACTCCTGGAGGGTTTCGTTCAGACCCTTTCCAGTGGCTTGGCAGGGCAGGGGTGGGAGTGAGGGCTCAGGACCACTGTGTGCAAGAAGGGTTGGGTGCTGGGCCCACCTGACAGGCCCAAGATTCTAGCATGCTCTGGGTCTGTACACAGTGGCATGTTCTCTCTTACAAAGACACTTTGCAGCAGGTGCCCTTCGCTCTCTCTGTCTGTCCCCGCTTTGGTTCACATTACTCATTTGGGTCATCCGTGAACACTAGTACTGCCTCTGCATGCTGCCCACTCTAAGAGTGGGCCTTGTTGCCTCCTGATTGGCTGACCAGTGTGTCAATTCAGTCAGCAAAAACCCAGTGCTTTGTTCCTCTCGGTCCCGTTTAGCATGAAGAAGCATCATTTGCATTTATTCTAAATCAGTGTAAATAAAATGACCTCAAGTGCACATGACTCTCTCCGCAAACATTGAAAATACACAAGGGAATGGCCCATGGAGCTTGTAGGTGAAGCCCGGATAAGCTAAGTGTACTTAGTCCACCACTCCTCATTCTTGCCTGAGGCCAGACATAAGGGTGATTTTTTAGGGTCTTTCCAATGCCCTCTGTCCAGGACAGAAACAATGTTTCATCTCAGGATAGACTATCATGGTCAATAGGTAGTAGCTGCCTGGTACTCTGACGGCTGAGAATTCTGAGACTCTACTGGGTTTAATCAGAGAATGCTGTGATCAATTGGTAATGCCTGTGCAAGCATAAATGGAAGGCCACAGGCACCAGCAACCTCCCCTGGTTTTTTACCTAGGGAGGTTTCCTGGGAGAAGAGTTGGCCCTTGGATTTTTTTTTTTTTTAAGACAAGGAAGACCTACCTAAGTGGTGCTCTCCTGCATGGCTCTTACCCTCTCTTACAGGTCCCAGAAGCCATCCGCAAGTGCCAGCGGGCAGGTATCACAGTCCGCATGGTCACTGGTGACAATATCAACACAGCCCGGGCCATCGCCATCAAGTGTGGCATTATCCACCCTGGAGAGGACTTCCTGTGCCTGGAGGGCAAAGAATTCAATCGGAGGATCCGCAACGAGAAGGGGGAGGTACGCATGTGCATGCGCCCACCGCAAAGGCTCTGCAGCGGGCCCATCTCGAGAGGGGGCCGGGAGGCATGGGCCCTGCATGCTTGAACAGAAGCCAGCTGGTGTGCCCTGAAGAGCCCAGTGACTCTGCATGGGGTTCGGTTTCTCTCTGTGACCCCACCGACATACCACACCCCTCTCCAGATTGAGCAGGAGCGGATTGACAAGATCTGGCCAAAGTTGAGGGTGCTGGCTCGCTCCTCGCCCACGGATAAGCACACCCTGGTCAAAGGTAAGCCTGGGGTAACTATGGTAATTCTGAGCCCAGAACTAACCCAGCCTAAAGCAAGGCCAATTTGCACGGCATTGCAATTCCTCACTGTGTGTTCTAGCTGGTCTTTCACTACTACGGACAGCAAAGGCTCCACAGTGTAGAAGGGGAGAAGATACACAAGGGATTCTTCTCCCCTGGAGACCTTCTGACTTATTCCTTTTCAGCCTTGGGAGGGCTGTAGAGGCTCTTGGGGGAAGGGGACATCAAGAAACTGTGAGACTGTCTTCTGATCCTCCGACCTCCTCTAGGTAGCAGTGAGCCTGGGCCCGGCTGGGCTAGAGGTGGTCTAGTCCATGTGCATAAAGCCTTGTTGTGGAGATCTTCAGGAACCTTCCATAGAGTCTGCTCTCTCGTGGTTTGTGGCATTTGCTGTTCTCTGTCATCTGAAAGGAAGCCCGTTTTCCTCTTCTATCAGGGCCAGAATTTAGGAAGTTGAGACCCATAGGAAGCTTCCAACCAGCCCTTGTGAGCAGACCCAGAGGGTGAGAAGTCCCAGGAATAGCAGGCTAGAACATTTGCCCCTCTCCCCCATTAGAGGGTCACCACTCACAAAGCCTCAGTTATCCCAGTCAGCATTCCTGTGTCACAGCCCTGGCTCTCACTACTCCTACTACCCTCTCTGAGGCCCTGACAGGCCTGTCCACTCTGGGTCTCAGTTTCCCCATCTGTAAAATGTCTAGAAGGTGCAGTTTTTACTTCTGCCTGGGATCACCCCTAAGTACCTTAGAATCATGTGTCTTAAAGTTGGAGACAGATGTGGCCTGTGGATAGAATCATGGAACCCCAGGACTACAGACACCACAGCAAAGGGCCTAGCTCACCCTCATTCCTCACTGGATCCGCAGTTCACTCCCTGACTCTTTCACTGAGCATTTATGGAGGACCTACTGTGTGCTGTAGACAGCACAGGCTCCACAGGACAGACACCAGATCATATCCCTGCATGGCACAAGAGGCTGTTCTGCTCCAGCCACTGGACTCTTGCTCAGGCTGTGGAGGACATGAACCCCCGCAGATGGGGGTAGAGGGAAGAGAGGGAAGTGCTGTGATCCAGACAGCATGGGGAACTACATTGTGCAGAGACCCTGATGTCTTCAGGGGGAAACAAGAGGAAGCTGGGGTAGATTGACCTTGGCCATGGTGGGCCAATGGCAGTGTCACTGCATGGGGTAGAGGGAGGACCAAGAGAGGAAGAATGTTATTTAGGAAACTCCTCATGCTTTGGGAATGTGACCTGAAGGCAGAGAGGTCACTGGGATCTTACGTGACAGCTGCAGTACGGATGGGTGGTGTACTGTGTGTGAGTAGGTTGTGTATGGATAAGGTATGGAGACACAGCAGGAATCCCATAGAGTGCTCCTGTACACACCCAGCTAGAGGCCTACCCCCATTACCTGGGTGTCAGGCATGACAGACCAGATAAGATCCCAACCATTTAATGTACGTCTTCCGGAGTCTCTGATGTCCTAATAGTACCATCTGCAACAGACAGCCATTGACAAGAAAATGTGGGCCTCAGCTAGAGCCGTATGGGGGAAGGGCATGTGGAGGCAGGAAAGTCCCAGAACCCAGGGCACCCACCTGAGTGATGATAGAAAGACTACTAGAACCCACAGAGACAAGCAGAGGAAGAGGTACCCAGGGCTGGGAGGTACCCAGGAGGGAAGTCTATAGAGAAGAGCATGGTCCACTGTGGGACCAGCTGCTGAGAGGCCAGGAGAGACAGGATGGAGATGTGAGCACAAGGAGGCTCCCAGGAAACCATGCAGCATAGGGCCCAGTGAGTTCCTTGCCTTTGAGGAGCCCAGTGATGGCTAAAGAACCAGAAGAGTCAGAGACTGGACTGCCAACTCCAGGGATAGGAGTCCAAACAGGCTGAGCCAGAGACAGTTGGATTTGGACTGACTGCTAGCTGATGGGAATAGCCAGGATAACCCTGAGGAACCAGGCATGGAAGCTGGGCTTTGTTGGGGGGGTAGTTAGAGGGAATGGTACCCCTAATCTGGGAACTTGTCCCCTGCCTCCACAGGCTGCTTTTGTTTGTTTGCCTGGTACAGACAAGGCAATGCCTACACATGGACAACGAGGCCAGAAGCCATAGTTTTGACAGAAAGGGCAGGCATGGTTGCATTAGGTCTGGTTCTTACCCATCATTTCATTGAAGAATGTATGTACAGGGGCAGGTTGGCAAATGGCACAGTCAGGGTCTCCCCACGTATGACCAGAGTTCCCAGGTAGAACGTACTGGAAAGCAGATGTGAGAGTCCCTGAAGATGCAGAGAACTCATGGGTCTGGACAGAATAGCTAGAGGACTGTTTTTCTGGATAGCATGTCAAAGGACGGTGAGAGAAGACAGTGCTGGAGAATGGGAAGCCCCGAACCAACCTGGGCTATTGAGGAGCCTGATGGCTCTGAACAGGCTGGGATGGAAGGGGCCGGCTGGACAGACAGGACAGGAGGCCATGCGGAGACCCGGGGATGGCCATGGCCCTGAGCATACCCTCCTACCCACTAGGCATCATCGACAGTACACACACTGAGCAGCGGCAGGTGGTGGCTGTGACGGGGGATGGGACCAACGACGGGCCTGCTCTCAAGAAGGCAGATGTGGGCTTCGCAATGGTAAGAGAATCTTGAAGAAGGTGGTATCGGACTGGGTCTCAAAGGCGAGGATAGTAAGCTTGGACTACACCGCTTCCACCGGCTTGCAGGACTCCCACATACACTTAACACTCATCCTTCTCCGTATACTATGCATGCAAATCCAAGCTTTTGAGCCCCAGCCTAGCCTCAGAGGTCTTCCTGGAGGGGGCAAGTCATGTCCTGCTGGGGTCAGCTCTCTCCTGCTGGGTGCTTAAAGGTCAAAGAGGAATGGGGCAAGGGCAGGCTTCCCAGGGAAGAATGTTGGCCTCACGAGGGTGGTTGTGTGACCATGTGCATGCATATATGTATATATATATGTGTGTGTGTGTGTGCATATATATGTGTGTGTGTGTGTGTGTGTGTGTGTGTGTATACAAGTTTGTATGTATGTATGCATACACATGTGTATGTGTGCATGGTCTGACTGTGCCAGTTCCTTTGGGTCAGAGCTGAGGTGCACAGGACTAGCTAAGGTTGTGTAGAGGTAAGAATGGCCAGATAGAGCCACTCACCTCTCCGGCTGCCCTACCAGGCTCCTGTCCCTGTCTCCACAGGGCATCGCAGGCACAGATGTGGCCAAGGAGGCCTCAGACATCATCCTGACAGACGACAACTTCAGCAGCATCGTCAAGGCAGTGATGTGGGGCCGTAATGTCTATGACAGCATATCTAAGTTCCTGCAGTTCCAGCTGACCGTCAACGTGGTGGCTGTGATCGTGGCCTTCACAGGCGCCTGCATTACACAGGTGGGTCCTAGGAGAATCATACCAAAGGCTGGAAAAGGGGCAGCCTTCAGTCTCCAGGACATTCTGGGTTGTTAAGATCACAACCCTGGGGACGGACACACATCGTGGTGTTCCTCCCAAGACCAGGACACCGTCATGGACCTCCATGCAGCCACCAGCCTATGCAGTTGAGAAATGAGACTTGGAGAGGTAGTGTGACTCAGGTGGCCCCAGAAATGAGAAATATCCAGCCTCAGGCCCTTCTGTCCACCCACACCTGCCTGACCCTTGCTCCAGAGGCTGGCAGAAGCTGGAGCAGAGGCAGTGTAGGCCCAAGGGAGATCAGTTGCCCAGCTGAGGACCCCGAGCCAGTCAAGCTGTGTGGGACCTTCACTCTGGAGTAGAGCGGATTCAGAGAGTTGGGGTGGGTACAGGAGGCAGTGAGGCTCTCTCTGTCCAGATCACTGCTACTGGGCCCTCAGCAGGCTGCTCGCTGAGACACATGGAGCCAGGTGGAGTGAGTACCATTTCACAGAGGTAGACGCAAGCTCAGGAGAGAATGCTCAGACACTCGCTCTGGCTCCTGCTGTCTCCTGAGACCATAACCAGACTGCACCTCCCAGGAGCTGGCTTTCTGGTCTGGGGAAGGAGAGCGACTTCAGTCCTAAGAGAGTCTCAGAGGTCTGACTTCTTCCAGTCACCACCTGGTTACACAATCCCCTACCCAGAGCGGAACCGAGTCCAATGTGCAGCTGTCCCCAAGACCCACATGGCCCATAGGACATTGTTTCCTTCTGCTGTGACCTCCATCACAGTGATGTTTGTGGTGGCTACAGTATTGACCATGTACAGGTGCCACCTCAGGTCTGGAAGTTGGATTGAGGGTTCCCTGGCTGCTTAGGGGGCCTCTTTCCTGGTCTGTGGATGAAAAGCTCCCTCTAGTGGTGGTTTACAACCATTGCCATGACAGCTTCTTGGCGACTGGACAGATGCCAGTAAGAAAACAGGTTTGGAGACAAGGATCAGTTGGCCCAACATCCCTGAGTGAGCAGGGCCATGCAGGCTTTGGTGGGAAAATTGCACACCTGACTCTGAGAATCTTGTAATCAGATAAGGCGGAAAGGTAGCAGAAAGCCCAGAGCAGCCCTACCAGGCACGGTGAGACGGCAGAACAGCCAGGGAAGCACAGAGAAGGCAGACTGACGGGAAGCTGTTAAGCTTTCAGAGAGGGTAGGCTTCCTGGAGGAGTGCTCCATGGGCCAAGGGATAATCAAGAATAGAGCCAATGGCCAGGGACAGAGGGTTCTGGGTGAGGCCGGCTCTGGCTGCTGTAGACAAGGCTTGTTGTAGCTGTGAGGAGTGAAGGATGAGTGGATCACCTTCTTCAGTCAGTGGACACGGAGCATGCTCTGTCCAGCCTGGACCTCGCAGAGTGAATCTGACAGTGTCCACACTGGCATGCTTGTGGTGATAACCTGTGTTTTAGCATCCTGTTTTGCTTACCTGACAGACTTCTTATCATGACAGGGCATTTCTTTTGGAGTTGTAGATTTTTTTTTTAACCTTTAAGATAAAAGATGATGAGGAATAAGGTAGAATTGGGAGTAGAGTCAAGGACATTGTCTCCAGGATAGGAGAGACCTGAACCCCTGAGACTGAGGGGTAGAGACTTCAGGGAATTAAGAAAATGGATGTTGGCCTCAGACAGGAAGGGAATAGAAGAAAATATGGTTGAGTCTACAGAAGTCAGGGATCTGTGGCCACTGAGCCTGTGGACCCAAAACTGAGGTGGGCGGTTCATACTGTTCTCCACAGAAGCTCCTGTCATGCACAGGCTCAGAGCACCAAAGCCTGGGCAGCCGGCATCCTGTAGTGGAAACCTGCTGAGACCCAGCAGTGGGTCCATCCTATACTCTGTGGCTGTGGTGGCCCACTCTGTGACAGTCTTCTCCCTGCCACTGTCGTAGGACTCCCCTCTCAAAGCTGTGCAGATGCTCTGGGTGAACCTCATCATGGACACATTTGCTTCCCTGGCCCTGGCAACAGAGCCACCCACCGAGACTCTGCTCTTGAGGAAACCTTACGGCCGCAACAAGCCGCTCATCTCACGAACCATGATGAAGAACATCCTGGGCCACGCTGTCTACCAGCTCACCCTCATCTTCACCCTGCTCTTCGTGGGTGAGCACCCTAGCACTCACCCCTCTGAACTTAGGTCACCAACTTGGACATACCATGGCCGACAGCTGACATCTGGCTTTACACATGTCATTCTTTTTCGGTCATGGGGAAACTGTGGCATAGGAGGGAAATGCAGATTGCAGCACACAGGGAGCCAGAAGTAGTCATGCCCTGTCCCAGGGCTGCCTCACCTCAAAGCTGGCTGTAGTGTTAGCATTCAGGACTGATGAAAGCTTTATGTTACGTTAGCCACTGAGAGCCAAGGCCCTGGGCCAAACAACCTGCCCTGTCCCTGACCCCTTCTAGGAACTTCACCTTGCTCTAAGAAGATGTCTTCATGGAGAATATAGACTTCCTTGGGGAGGGACACATAACCTGTTGGGGTGTCAGCTCCTTTCTCAGCTTCTCCACTGAGGGCTAGCTCTCCGGCCACTCAGAGCCAAGTGTGTTTGCCTGTGCCTTATTCAGTGTTCCTTCATTCAAATAAGGTTCCTGAGATAATTAGCTTAGAAGAGGGTCTCGTTTGGACTCTCATTCTGAGAGGTCATATTCAGTTGACCCCACTGTATAGGGCCATCGACAAAGGCAAAGGGAGGAAAAACCGCTCACTTCAGGGCCAGGAAGCAGAGAAAGTTGTAAACCAGGCCCCACAGTTCCCTTCAAGACAATACCCCTTAATGGCCTGAAACGTCCCATTACACTCCATCCTGAAGAGGTTCCACCACCTCCCTTAGGGCTAATGTGGGAGAACCCTCATTCAGTATGCCTCAAGTCCCTGGTTCCATCCTAAGCAGCAGATAATCCGGGTGGGATGGTGCTGCCTGCAATCCTAGCACTCAGGAATCAACAGCGGGAAGATCAGAAGTTTAAGGTCGTCCTTGACTACATATTGACTTCAAGGGCCACATGAGACTCCGTTCCACTACTTCCCCATAGCACCAGGCCTCAGATACGTAGGTCCCCAGGCCACATTTGCTTAAGCTGTAGCGGCTTACCTCAAGGATCTGTGTCCTCTCAGTACAGTCACCCTTCATAAGGAATGTCACTTTGTAAGGCAGCTGGCATACCACCTTTCTCGGATGTCCACAGAAAAGGCAACAGATCCCAAGCCATTTATCCTCTAGATCAGCGGTTCTCAGTCTTCCTAATGTGACCCCTCAGTTCAGTTCCTCGTGTCCTGGTGACCCCCACTAGGTTAAGAACCGCTGCTCTAGAGAAAGGATTGGCTCACTGAGCGGGAACCACAGGCCACGTTGTAGCCCGCCTTCCGCACCTCAGCCTGGCCCCACCCTCTGACTTGGCAGGTGAGAAGATGTTCCAGATTGACAGTGGAAGGAACGCCCCACTGCACTCCCCACCCTCGGAGCACTACACCATCATCTTCAACACCTTCGTCATGATGCAGCTTTTCAACGAGATCAACGCCCGCAAGATCCACGGCGAGCGCAACGTCTTTGACGGGATCTTCCGGAACCCCATCTTCTGCACCATCGTTCTTGGCACTTTTGCCATCCAGGTACCCAGCCCCCGCTTAACCTGGGCTGGGCAAGGCGGTGGCTCCCCAGCCCTCCGTGCCATCTCCGTGTCTGTCCCTCCGATCTCTGACCTGCAGATAGTGATCGTGCAGTTTGGTGGGAAGCCCTTCAGCTGTTCGCCACTCCAGCTGGACCAGTGGATGTGGTGCATCTTCATAGGCCTGGGAGAGCTCGTCTGGGGCCAGGTGTGTGCCAGGGGAGGGGGGTAGGGGATATTGAACCAAAGAAAAAAGAGCAACAGGATGGGTCCTGGCTGTGACATGTACCTACTATCCATACCAGGGAAGGCCATTCCCAACACTGGTCATCAGAGCAATGGAGTCAATTCAAGTCTCCAAATGCAGGCCACGTGGGTACCAACACTCTGATTTTGACTTTTTATCTGTGTTTCACTGCTGCCGGTGTTTTCTTTTTTTAAATTGCAACAGGTTTTTTTGGTTTTAGTTTTTGGTTTTTTTTTTGTTTGTTTTTTTGTTTTTTGAGACAGGGTTTCTCTGTGTAGTCCTGGCTGTCCTGGAACTCACTCTACAGACCAGGCTGGCCTTGAACTCAGAAATCTGCCTGCCTCTGCCTCCCAAGTGCTGGGATTAAAGGCGTGCGCCACCACTGCCTGGCTCAGCAGTTTGTTTTAACTTTAATTTATGTCCAAAGGCAATGCTGTAGACTGGCATGACTTGCTGAAAGTAGATGCTTATGAAAAAAAAATCAATGTTGGGAGTGGCTGCTACCACTCAGAACCTGAGGCCAACATGTTAAAAGGGGGATCACTTATTGGTATCTTGAGGATAGTGACCTGTGGCACTAAGCAGGGACATATCCTGCCACATCACCATGTGACCTGAGGTGGTCCTCTGGCTATCTAGAGATCTCCTAACTTGAAGGTGCTCTCTGATGGCCACTTCATCTCTGACTCTAGAACATTCTTCCACCTGGCTCATTCTCTACCTCTACCCAAGTTCTAGGCATACATACACATGCACATGCACACATGCATGCATACACACACACACACACCCCATCATACTGCTGACAGTTTGAAATCCCAGTCTTCTGACTCAGGATCCCACATGGGGGAAATGTCTTTGTCAATAAACTGAGCTAAAATGACTATTCCCAAGGTATCTAGGCAGTGGAATCACCGTAGGCCTAAGATGATTCTCTTAGGTTGTCCCAGGCTAGACTAAGAGATCACAGTAGTAAGCCAGGTATGGTGGTACACATTTGTAATCTCAACATTCAGGAGGTTGAGGCAGAAGGATTGCATATTTGAAGGCAGTGTGGTGGGCTATTTATCCAAACCTTGTCACAAAGAATAAAAAATAAAAGATAAAAAAGAGATGGTAGAAGAGGTGTGTGTGGGTACAGTGGTCACGGGGGTATTGTGATGAATGCCTGTAACCCCAGAACTTGGGAGGCTGAAGCAGGAGATTCACCACTAGTTTGAGGCCAGCCTAGACTACATGGTAAGACCCTGTCTCAGTAGGAATCACTTCCTACCCTTTGGCTAAGATTAAGTGCAGAAATCCCAGTGGCAAGTGTTAACGCAAAGATGAAGTTTAGATATGTCCAAATGTCCTTTGGCACTTATTTGAAGCATGAAGAACTAAGTTTGATTAGGACCCTTTCCCTGTTTCCTGGGGACCTGGGGCCTGCACCCTGAGAGCTCCCTTAGCATCCAGGGGAATGGACTCATGTGCAGTAAGGTTAATGCTAATAACCAGCACTGACCATGAATTCCCAGAAAGCCCGAGGGCATGGTCCAGCCATTGCCTGTCCTCACAGATGTAAGGGACCTCTGACATCTGACTCTCAAGCATCAGCCTGGGAAACAAACCCCACACAGGTCCAGGACTGGCCTCTTCAGTGCACACTGTGCTCACTGGTGGCCATCCACAGAAGGCTCTGTACAGCATGCACACAGTACCTGCCTAGGTCCTCACAACTCCTAAGCCTTATCAATAGGAGTCCAGAGCTCAGTGGGGCACGTGATTGGTCTTAGGTCACATGACCAATAAGGCCTGGGACATTCCAAGTCACAGTGGCCAGTTCCTCAAGGCCGAGTTGTTCCACTCTGTCCTTTGTGCCGAAGAAGAGGGTGGAGTAAAAAGGCTTTTAATAAGAAATAACAAACAGTTGAGTTAGAATGGGCAGAGGCCTAAAGAGGGAGCTTTCCATTCGACTAGGGAAACGAGCAGTAAAAGAGGGAGAGGGACTCGGGGACTGGGAGGAGAATCCTCAGTTCTGACCTTTACCTGGGCACATCGCTTGCAGGTTATCGCCACCATCCCTACCAGCAGGCTCAAGTTCCTGAAGGAGGCAGGGCGGCTAACACAGAAGGAGGAGATCCCTGAGGAGGAGTTAAATGAGGATGTGGAAGAGATAGACCATGCAGAGCGGGAACTTCGCCGTGGCCAGATCCTGTGGTTCCGGGGCCTGAATCGGATCCAGACACAGGTATGGGGAGCTCCTAGGGCTGGGCCAGTCTTGGGGTGTGGTCAGTGTGTTCCAATGCACCCTCACACTCTGATGTGAGAGAAGGGTGGCTATGAAGGAGCCTTGGAGTAAGCTCAGTGAACACTCCCCATGCCTGTCATGTGGCTTCAGAAGAGCCATCACTATCCCTCCAGCCATGTGAGCTCATGTACTCACATACACTCACACATATACTCACACACACACACACTCATACACACTCACACACACTTACGCACACATACTCACACACATACACTCTCACACACATACTCACACATACACTCACACACACACTCACACACACATACTACACACACTCACGCTCACACATTCACACATACACACTCACACACACACTCACACATACATTCACACACACACATACTCACACTCACACATACACTCACTCATACACACACACAAACACACACTTCTGCTACAGAAGCAGAGTGTGCCTCAGGAAGAACACTTACTTTCTCAGCCCAGTAGGAGTTGACATGAGTCTTACCCACCATGGTTTTCCAGAGGGATCCCCTGAAAGAATGGGGGTGGCTATGAGGGCTGAGGTGAGTGTGGGTTCTAGTGTGGCTGGGGTGACTACCAGGAGGAGCAGACAATACTGGAGGGAAATTGTCAGACTGGGAGCTACAGCCATCTTTACAGATAATACACACACTCGCTGCCTCTGTGAGAATCCCCGAGCACAACCCTAGATCTCACCTAGATGCAGAACAAAGGTTAAAATCCCCATAAACAGAGGTACGCATGCAAACCAAGTTTACACAGCAAAACATATATGCACAGCCAAAAGCAGGCTTCATCTCCAGAACAGAACTTAGATGGCCACTGTGTGGCACGCAATGACGCAGGAAGGCCACACACACATGCACGTCCCATGCTCCAAAGTCCCCATGCCTAGGGCAGGTGTAGTTTATGAATGTGCTGTAGGATCCAGAGGAGGAGATCTCTTGCCCAGAAAGAGACCTATGGAGCATCACCTCAGATCCCTCACCCAAACAATCTGGGCAAGCGATGTACAAGCCAGCCACTTCATTTCCATGGACTACAGCAAACAGCTCCATTGGAGTTCCTTGGAGCCCATGGGGACTCATGTGACTCATACAGCCCCTGAGAGGAGGGTATGACTCCCCTGTTCTACCCACTTGGAATTTAGGGGAGTGGGTTTTAGACTCAGAGTTGCCTCCCAGAGACCTGGACTCTCCTGCTGTGACCAGGACCCTGGCAACCCTTGTTTCCTGTGAGGGTTGGGGTAGGTGACACTGCCCTATATCTCAGGAGGGTGAGGGGACCGTAGTCCCCTGATGACTATAATCCTGGGTAGGTGTGAGTGGCTCAGCCTGCCGTCTCTGAACAGCGTTGTGGGCCAGGTATTTACACCTCAGCCACATGGATGGCACTGCCCTTCCACAAAGAAAAGGAACAGGACTTTCCCAAGGTCACCTAGCTAATAAATAAGGAAAACTAGGCCTTGGCCAAAGTCAGTCCACCCAGAGGTCTCACCATATCACTCTGGCTCTATGCCTGAAGCCACCCTTCCATTCTGACATCACCGCGACCCCAGCCCCTGAGCCACTATTGAGGAAAGAGGTCACACGCCGCTCCCCCTACCCCCCAACCCCCACCCCCGCTTGGGATTCCCGGGGCCTATAGGTGGGCCCAGAGCTGAGCAGACATCTTTCCGAACCTTGGAGTGTGTCTGGTATTTTTGTTTTAAGTGGTGTTGTCCTTGTCGCCGTGGCTGCGGCTGCTGTGTGACGTTGCGCCCGTCAGTTGTGTAGCTGTGGTGTTCGTTTCTTCTCGCAACTTGTCTCGTTCTCTCCTCCGTTGCAGATTGAAGTAGTCAATACTTTCAAGAGCGGGGCCTCCTTCCAGGGGGCCCTGCGGAGACAGTCCTCCGTCACCAGCCAGAGCCAGGACGTAGCCAGTCTCTCTAGCCCTAGTCGCGTGTCGTTATCCAATGCTCTTTCCTCTCCGACCAGCCTTCCTCCTGCTGCAGCTGGGCGTGAGTGTGACTCCTTACCGCCTCCGCTGGCACTACCAACGCCAGCTCCTGGGCGGGCAGGCGGGCAGGGGCCGGGTTCCAGAGAACATGGTGGGACAGGGGTCACTGTGAGGCCCGGGGCTGAAGGGCCACTGAAGACAGTGTCATTGGTTAAGAGTTCTCAAGCAGTCGTGGGGCTAGCTGGGGGTCAGGGATTGTTACCAGCAGTGGATCACTAGAATTATAAGCATTCAACGGGTCTTAGTCCAGCAAAGGGTCACACCATAGTCAAAAAGTGTCCCAGTCCCCCTCAGGACCTGAGGCCAGAGGATGACAGTCACCAAGAGAGGCACAGGACAAGACTCATTCTAGTGTCTTACCTTGTCAGGAAAAAGCCTGGTCTGTGAGGGAAGGTCAGGCAGTGTTGAAGCCTCTTGGGTCACAGTCACAGTAGGGGCTCAACACAAGAGGGATCGTATGAGTCAGGTAGTCACTGCAGGTCAGATGTCACAGCCAGGAATGGTGGAGCACTTCAGGATCACCCATATCCCACCACCACCACTGTACACTGAGCACATCAGCTGCCTTACCAGCCCTTCTCCCACAGAGAGTGGAGCATGCTGAGCTCTTGACCCCTTCCTAGTAGAGACAAGGCTCTTGTTCCATCTAGCTGATCTCAAGTGGAAAATAGTGGGATATATACATCTTGCCTGGGCGTCAGCTAGTCCCAAAAGAGCTGGTCTAACCTTGGTATCCTTTTCTTGTATGAGAGGTAACCTGGAACTCTCACCTCTTCATCTTCCTTCTGCCAGTTACCTTATTTGGGGGGAAGGCAGGGGTCCTTTTTGCTTTCTCTTCCTCCCTCCCCAGAGCTGAGGACCAAAACCAGGACCTTGTGCTAGCTAGGCAAGTGCCCTACGACCCAAACTAAATCTTACCCAAAGCCTTATCTTTCTTCTGCCAAACACATCTACCCATACCACTGTCTCTGACCTAGGGCTTCTGGTCTCTGCCTCTGTCTAGTTCTTTGTTGGACCTGTCCAAGACCTCAGGCACCAGAAGATTCTGTCTCTATTTCCTGTCTGCCTCCATTTGAGCCTTCCCAAAGTGCATGGAGCCTCAGGTCTGCCGTCTTAACAGACACAACACGTGTGTTACCCCAGCCAGCCGTCAAGTTCTTTGATGAGAAGCAGATTCCATCTCTTGATACATTATAAAGTGTCCCTTCACCCATCCTAAACCAGGACACCCAGCATCATGTCTCCCTACCACTGAGCAGGGAAGCTCTGCATACAGTTTCTTCCATTAGGGTCCTCCAGCTCCAGCAGGATGCACAGATCACTAGAAGCCTGTTGCCAGCCTATGCTGGTGTCCTGTGACCATCCCATGGGTCCCACCCTCCCTGGCATAGAGGATGACAAGTAGGTCCAATAGTGTTTTCCCACTCATATAAAATTAGCCCCAGTGAGGCAAGGGAACACCTAAGCACATGGTATCTGAGTCCCTGAGAAATCAAGGCCAGGATTTCATTCAGAGCAGACATCCCTTCTCAGCTTTGTGAGTGACCCATGCTTACTTTGTTGGCTTTTCCTTCCTCCCTGTCACATCAATCCAATTCTGGCCTTGCTTGGCACCTCCCATCTTGAAGTGTAGTCACCAAGTGTTCTCATGGAGATATCCTTGTTGGTGACTCCTGCATCACCCTGAGTTCTGATCACTAGGAGTCTGGCTGTAGGGCACCAGCTTTACTCTTTATTTGTCTTGGTTCACTTCTTTCACGTGGCATTCCCAAGCACCCATGTATCCTCTAAGGTCATCCTGAGTCAGCCTCTAGCTTAGCACTCACATTCTAGAACAAAGAGCTACCACTCTCTAACCCCAGCATCTTCTTTTCCACCTTTCCTTCGGCACCAGTATAGAGCCATCAAGGAGCCTGTCCCTCCCACACTTCCACAGATAGACCTGTGTGGCCCATGCTCTTGTCTCCAGACAAACCAATCCCTCCTTCATTCCATGTAACCCTAACCTTAGAACAGTCATAGGAAGAAAGCATAGGTGTGGCTCATCTACCATCTTAGCCCATGATCCTTCACTCCCACTCAGGGCTAAGAGAGGTTGGCAAGCTCACCTCCCTCAGTTCTCCCCACTGTCACCTCCACAGCCTCTTTAACAGCCTCCCACTGGTACCCTCTGCTCTAAACTCCAGTTTGTAATTCTTCATCTCTTTGAGCCCTTCGTTGGGTGTGAGGTTTCAACATCCAGACCATTCCTCTGCTGATAGTCTCCTAGGAGGACTGCTATCTGCATGGTTTAAAGAGGCATTCTGATCACCGAGATCACAACTCAGATATCAAATAAACATGCTCTCATCCTCTGCTTGTGTGGTTTATGTCTTCTGCTCTCTTGGGACTATGAAGACCCTCTAGATATCAAGCAAAGTCCCCTCAGAGGACAAAACTCTTTCTTCTGATAGGAAGAAGGTCCAATAGGCATGACAGAAAGCAGAAAGAAGGATGGAACTGGGCCACCAGACTCTGCAAGATCTCCCCAGCAGAGGACTGGCCACATGCCTGCTGAGACAAACTCCAGGAGTTATCATGTCGTTAAAAGTTGATCACAATGGGGTAGGATAGGAAAGCTTCTATTGGAGAGCCCACTATGCACCGCTCCACAGTGCAGCTGTTAGATAACCCTAGGTAGACAGTATGCATGGGGATACATGCTCAGTTGGGATGGGACCAGAGCATTTGGGAGAGAACCCAGGCCAGTTTCGAGCTTTTCTCATCCAGACTCAAAACTGAATTTGGATTTCCACCCAGAGGTCCAAGGCCACGCCACTAATGCTGTGAACTTGAGCCCTACTCAACAGTTCCACTTCCTTCCCTTCACATACATCTCACCACGAGGAGAGGAGGCTTTCCCAGGGTCATCAGAGACACCACTTGGCCGAGACCACAAGCAAAGGGGACAATAGGGATGTGTCCTGAAGCCCCTCATGCTCCACTCTACGTCACATTCCAGTCAGGCTTGATAGCACAGAGGATGCCATTAGATCCAGGAGCCGATGCTGGTGCCTACAGCCTTCCAAAGAAGGAGCACCGCTTCCATCACCCTATGTGTGGATCCACTGGTGTTCCTCTAGCCCACAAAGTTATAGAGTACCTCCACTGATCAACCAGGACAGCACCAGGCTCATCCATCCAGGCCAGCCTCCTCTCCATCCTCCTCAGGCTCCTCACTTGTCTCCAGACATCTCTGTCCTCCTCCGCAAGCCTAAAGAGGCTCCACACTGAACGTTGCTTCAGCCCCACTATGTGAAGGGCAAGGCTCTGCAGACACACACACACACACACACACACACACACACCACACACTCAGCCCCAAGTGCCCCCATGTCACCTTTAGACTTGGGTTTCAGGAACTGCCAGTGTGTGCAGCATTTGTGGTGAGGAGCCATGCAGACAGTGGCAAAGAGGAAAGCTGGGTTTTCTCCTTAGCATTCTGGTAACTAATTTGGTGCAAGCTTGGGTTGGCAGGAAATGGCTTGCTTCTGGGGGGACCCTTGAGCTCTCAGACTGTCTGAATATTCCATGTCTTTGTTTCCTAGAGGGCTAGAGAACCCTGGACACAGAGTTCAGCAAGAGAGAGTGAAATTTAAAGAGGTTGTGAGTCTTTACCCTTGAGCCTGAAACGACTGTGAATCAATCCCAGACGCTTGGCTTCCTTGAAGCCGGGTAAACATTCGAGTATGCGGAGGCCACCTCAGAGCAAGGCTTCTGCCTCCCCAGAGACCCCAGTGGCCAAGAGCTCCAGGTCCCTCAGACTGTTGAAAGCAAACTTCCACAGTCCCACCCACTGGACCCGCCTTGTTCCCTGCCCCCACATCCCCACAAGTCTTCTGTCCTGAAACCTCATCTTTAGAGCAGGCAGGCCAGGGAGATGGAAGAGATTTTTTTGCTTTTGTTTTTGTTTTTTTTTTTTCTTCCCCTATTTTTTTTTTCCATTTCAGCTGCAGAGAAAACCGAAGTGGAGTCTTGAGATGGCCATGGCGGGGTGTCCCGAAAAGTCTTGTCCCCACAGTCCTGTCCAGAGCAGTTCATTCCTTTTGTTGTCTCCATGCCAGGGGGAGGGTGGAGGGGCCTCATCTCATTGTGTGTCGTCCCTCTGCGTTGTCAGTCACATGACAAGGGCTTGCCACTGTCCCTTAACTTCCTTCATATGCTAGGCATTCCAGCCAGCCAGCCAGTGTTCTATGGCAAGTCAGCCTCATAAGTCAGCACCAGCTGGAAAGATACAGGGACGGGACACTTGCACTCCCATTTTGCAGATGAGGAAGCCAGTTTTGCCTAGTATTTGGCTAGTACACAGAAGATAGTAGAGATAAAGAGAATCAGAAGTTCAAGACCACATCCTGAGGCCAGCCTAAGTTATATTAGACCTTCCCCTAAAGCAAACAAACAACAGATAAGCAAACTAACTCTATACCTTTTTAAAATTATTATTATTTCTAAGGGTTTGATAGCTTATTTATTAGATCAGAAAAGGAACAATCTACAGAAGCTGCGTAGGAAAGAAATCCAGAGACAAAGATAGCTGAAAGTATCAGACAGAACAGCAGCACTCAGCCTGCTTTCACTGGCTCCAACTTGCCAGCTTGCCTGGATTCCAGCAAGCAGAGTTCTCTGGGGTCACTAGTGTGTAGGGAGAAGGAACAGAATGTTCTCAGAAGGCAAGTGGAAGTTGGAGCTAAGAGAAGGCTGGTGGCAAAGAGGGAGAGTTGACTGGGGAAAAGAGCCAGAGAGCACAGCCTAAGCAGGGACCTGACCAATGCTAGCGCATTTAGAAACGGAAAGCCATCCGGCAATTATGACACAGGCTCAGTAGTCAGAGCCAACTAGAAGTTCCTTCTGGAAACAGGGATCTCCCTAACCAGGCCCATAGAGGAGCTCCCTGGTTCTGCTAAGCTCTAAGCTGCGACTCCAAGGACCTCCCCATAACTGTCTCTGGCAGGCTTCCTGCCCCCATAGCCAAGGCCATGTGACATTCGGCCAGTCGGTAGCATTGGGTCATCTTGTGTTGTCTCTGAGCCAGCACTGGGAAGACAGCGGGAGATAGCTTTATTTCCAACTCCCATTAGTCACATAAGACACAAGGCATGTTCCTGTCCCCCCTGCACCCTATAAGGCAGTTTAGAACATGACCAGATAGGTAGTGTAGTTCTCTACAGCCAAGGCATAAGGAATGGCCAAGCCAGGACTTCAACCTGGCCATTCTTATTCCAAATCCTGGGCTCTTTGCACCAGCCTTGGAGTCCAGAGGCCAGGCTCCTCACATTCTTAGAGGAGAGAATAAAGGCCTAAGGACATGAAGTTCCTGGCTTACTCCCTATGGTGCAGTGCCAAACCCTCGATATCCAATCCCCGCATCCAAAACATGGATCTCAGGGTTGGCTGTCCACTTCTGGCCTCTGTCTTTTGTTTTGTTTTGTTTTCCTTTTGGTTTGTGTTTTCAGAACACAAACAGAACAATAAACCCCAAACTCCAGGAAACAAGGGAGCTCCTTAGCAAGCTGCAATGGCTGGCCAGGGCTTTGAGCCCATACTCGAGTGTTTACCTCCCAAATGCATGAAGGAAAGAGGCGCTGGGCACAAACAACTTCGTTCACATTGTGCAGGCTTTCAAGTGTAGCTGTGTGTCGGTGTGTGCGCGTGTGGCCCCCGACTCCTGTGGCATGCTCCCTGCCCTCAACGTCCTGTGTGCGCTCCTCTGTGCTTCTCGGCTGCTGCAGCCTTGCACCTCAGAAAGCCTTCCCTGGCTTTGCTTTGCTCTGCTGCCTCGGCTTGATGTCCCCTTCTCTGTTTGGCCCTCGTGTGTCCTCTCATCCCACCTCATCCAACCGTCTCTCCTTCCTGTTCCTTCTCTGTGTGACCTGTAACCTGTTCCATGTGGTTTGGTTTCTTAACTGTGTGTGGTTTTTGAAGATTCACCTTTTTTTTTTAACAAATAGACTCTTTCCTATTTCCCCTGCAACCCCCCAAGCCCCTTGCATGGTCAGACTCTGCTGTGACATTAACAAGGCTCAGTCTCTCACTAGGTCGGGTGCCCTTCGGAGTGGACCATGCTCCCGTTTACAACTGCCCAAGCATCTCTGTGGTGGTGCTTTTACAGTCCCCACTAACACCATAGTTCTGACCCAAACCAAAGCCACTTAAAAACCAACTCATGGATGCATCCCCCAAGCCCTCTGCCCTCCGTCCCCATCGATGCTCATAACACCAACGACTGTGGATCCCAGCCGCCTGCGTGCCCTCCCCTCCCCTAACCCTCCTCCGAGTTCCAAGGGCCCAGCCCACTCCTGACCAAAATGTTTCCCTTGCAGATCCGCGTCGTGAAGGCGTTCCGTAGCTCTCTCTATGAAGGGTTAGAAAAACCCGAGTCTCGAACATCCATCCATAATTTCATGGCTCATCCTGAATTCCGGATCGAAGATTCCCAGCCCCACATCCCCCTCATCGATGACACCGACCTGGAAGAAGATGCCGCGCTCAAGCAGAACTCGAGCCCGCCGTCCTCGCTCAACAAGAACAATAGCGCCATCGACAGCGGGATCAACCTGACGACCGACACGAGCAAATCAGCTACCTCTTCAAGTCCAGGGAGCCCCATCCACAGCCTGGAGACGTCGCTTTAGCTGAGGCCCCTGTCGCCTGGCCACGCTCATGGACCCGCCGCCACCCGCCTCCAGGCGCATACCCTTCCAGGCACCAACTCCCCGATGCAACAAGGAGCACTGGGCGGAACCCACACAGCAGAGAGAGAACCCAGTTCCACACACAGACCTTTCTCTGGCTGCCGTGCTGTTTGAACTCTTTTTCACTCCTTAGCCCGTGGGCAGGGTTGCCCTGGGGTCACCTGGAGCAGAGAGTGGCGTGGATTTTTTTCCAAAACATAAAAAAAATAATAACGAATTAATTTTAAAAAAAAGAGCCCTTCCAGGCTCCAGCTCAGACAAGGACCAGCCATGCACCCGCCGGCCACTGCGTCCCCAGCATGAATGTACCTGGACACTTTTAATCCCCTTCCTCTTTGGTTCTTGGAGGGTTAGGGAGGGGAGATTTTTGTTTGTTTTCTTAGGCGGGAACTGCAAACAGGAACTGCAAACAGACTGCTGTTCATTCAGTCCACTGGTCTATGAGGTTTCAAATGCTTGCCCAGCATGGTCTCAAATGTCTAGATTAATTTAATAACTTTTTGAAATCACAGAGTAGGTTTGCACCAATGAAACCCAAGAACTCCACAGACACTCATGAGGTTATATCCGTTTCTTTGTATCTATATCAACGTATACTTCTTGAAGACTGTATACGTGCGTATAGATAAGTAGATATTATATATATATATATACATATATATACATGGATATATAAAGTTCCTTTGCCGGCATGTTGCCTTGTTTCTGCTTAAATTGCTCTATTTTAACTTATGTCCTAAAAGAAGAATGTAATTTGTTTACAAACCTGTAGATAATGTCTTTGGCTATTTGTGTGGTTTAAGGACACTGGTGGCCAAGATGCTTACAAAGAGCTCGGGCCCAACAGACACATCCCCTGGATTGCATCCTTGAAGTTTTACGATAGCCATGCTCTGATTTTTGCCTGCTATTTCCGTTCAATAACGTCACTACTGTGGGAAGCTCAGGCAGAAAGCCAACTGCTCCCAAGGATCCACCCTGAGGAGCTAAGCAACACGCTCCACCGTAGACAAGGGAGAAGAGGAGAGAAGGCTTCCTGGGTTTGCAATACGGTGGTCCAAGTCCTGTGCTGTCAGCGTCTGTAGTGCACCCGGAGAAGGAAGGCTTTTCTCTTAATGAAACTCGCTTGAGTTTACAGAGAGCATTTCAGAACTGAGTTGCCTTTGGCGCTGTCTGTGAGTCAAGGTAGTGTTCAGATATTACAAATGCTATTGTGTTGATTTTTTTTTTAGTTAGTAATTTAGAAGTTTCTTTCCTTATAAACAGCAGCATAGACACTGCTGACATACTGGATGAGGGTTGGTACGGCTTGCTGCTTTCGTTTTTTTTTTCTTTTTGAAGAAGAATAGCCTTTTTTCTCTGCACTATTTAGATCCGAATGAACTTTATGATGTGTACATTGAGATGTATTCAGTGTGATTTTTAAACCAAATTGTCTTCCTGTAGTTACAATATATACTGTAGCCTTTTAACGGCAAGTCCTGCTTTCCCAGACAGAAAGCCATTCTGATATCTTCCCATATCACAGGTGAGAAAAGGTGGCTATCCCCCCCCCAAACAATAACAGCACTAGTAATCCCACTTAATAAGAGCTTGTCTGTCGGCCTCTTACTGCTAAGCACTTTGTGGGTCTCAGCTTTTTTTCATAAAAGAACTTTTGTATTTAATACAAAGTTTGCTTTGAGACTTTTCAGCATACAATCTTTTTCCATAAACTTGTACAGTGCAAAAGACATTTTGAATACCATGACCGATGATGTCCCGTGCTTTGAGGAAAACCAAACACTTTCCGCCTCACTTGTGAGCTCCATCCTCCACTCTCCCCCTTCTCACAATCGCTCCTCATTCTTCAGCCTGCCCCCCCCCCAGCCCTCCTCCAGGCCCAGAGACCTCTTCACTAAACAAGATGACAGCCACTTGGGAAAAGAGCCATAGTCAGCTGGGAGGGCCCACGTCTGGATGGCTGTTATAAACTTGAGTTAGTGGTTTGGGCTTCAAAGTCTGCCCATCCCGCCTGGCCACAATCTTTCTGTAAGGAAGAATATCTCTGAAGGATTCTGAATGTATCCAGGAGAGAGAGAGCTGCCTCTCGAGCAGGTGGACCAACCCTAGATGTACTCACTGGATTCCAGTACAAACACCACTAGAGCCAGCCCACAGTACCCCTCCAAGGGAGGGAAGGAAACCCAGGGCTGCCTTAGAACAGGATAGGTTTTTGGTTTGGGTTTTTTTGTTGTTGTTTGATTGGTTTGGGTTTTTTTTGTTTTTTTTTTTTGGTGGGGAGTCCTTTGTCATATTTTTCATCCTGCCCTCCTTCCTTCAACCATGCAACTGTGACCTCATTCCATGCCACCAGGGTTCTTGCACTTACAAACCAGGGTCCTTGGGCTTTGGAACCAGGCCTCCAGGGCAAAGAGGAAGGAGTTCTCTGAGCAGAGCCAGGTTCTCAAACAGGGAGCAGAGGAAACTATCAAGGAGGCCTGACATTAGCGCTGGCTTCCTGGTGTCAGGAATGAGGGCTAGCCTATGCCCCAGCCCCTCACTCTCCCACTCTCTCTCCCACACACACACCTACACAGGAGATGGTTGGTTTGTCAGAACTCACTGTAGTACACAAAGCTTGCTCTTCTGCGTCCTTTATCTAGCAGCATGGGATACGTTTGGCAGTTCACCCCATTAGGGGGGGTCAATAATTTATGACCATTCATCTGTTTTTATGAATTTTTTTATCTAGACAATAATTGTAAATAAAGAATTCACCGTCTCTGCTCATTTAATACTATGCAATGGTTATGTTTTCCATGGCTGGCTCTTCTGCCTCACACAGGTGTTTCTATGGTTTTTTTTTTTTAATCAAGCAGAAATAGTAAATCTCTACTCTTTTCTAGCGTGGGACCCACCCCCTTCTTTCCTGTCCTCTGCATCCTGTAAGTGCATCAACTCCCTACCCTCCTAAGATAGCTGAGAGACAACAGGTGAGCACCCAGCAGGGGACCTGCACTTTGGCTCTGATTACTTCAGAGTCACCTATCTGTGGAGCGGGTGGGAGGAGGCTCAACGTGCTGCTCACAGCTTTCCAGGATTGAGGAGCAGCCTCCATGTCTCCACCCACCCACCTCTCTCCTATCCTCAACCCAACCACAACAGAGCTGACTGGAGGGAGATGCCCTATTTCTGTGAGTGGATGTGGCACTGCTGCCCATCCTATCCTGGGTCCTCTGGTTAATAAAGAGCCACTGTGTCCCCAATGCCTGTTGAAAAGCCACCTTTGCCTCCTCCTGATTTTTTACATAGACTTCAGTCCAATTCTAGAATTTCTCTTTCACCCCCTTGTCTGGCACCAGCCACGTTTTAATTATTGTCCCTCTCAAACATGTTAGTATATAGCAGGGGAGTAAGTCCCTCTCCCTGTTCACAAGACTTTCCCTCACATCTGTTCTTCTGAAGAAATGTTAAAATGTTTGCCTCTGACCTTCTCTTACCCCAGACTCTGGGCCCTGTTGCTGTATGTGCCGTCTCCACCCCCATTGTAATCACTGTCCATTCAGATCCTCTCTGTGCAGAATATCCTGTGAGAACAGACAAAACAACACCCTGAATTCTGGGAGGCTATCAACTTACTAGTCCCCTAAGCCCCAGAATTGTCAGGAGAGGCCACCAAGCCCCACCTAACAAGTCATCTCCTGTCGTTGTCCCAGAGCAAGTCCCCACATGCTCCTTATCTTGATGGGAAAGGAAGACCTCCCCCAGACCCAGACTTGGAGAGAACATTCAAACTCATCAGACCCACACTACAGAGGGACACTTTCTGTCTGCCTTTTCAAAACTGGTTTTTGGTCATTGTATTTGGGTTATTGGGAGTCATGTCTTATTCAGAGTTCTAGCACCTTTGGGATACAAGAATGTCTTGCCTGGATGTCTTTGAACCCTTGAGGTAGCTATAGGAGGTTGGCAACTGAACCACACACTGACAAGCCTTTCACCCAACTCTCTCCTGCTCTAGTATCTGAAGCCCCACCCTTGGAGAATCCTAGGAGTAAGGATTTTTCTAGAAGCACCAAGGCCACTCAGTCAAACCCTAAAAGTCCCCACATGTTTTCCAAGGTCCAAATGAAGCCCTCTGATTTAATATAGAGATCCGACCCACCCAAGGCATGGGACCACAGGCCCTGGGTAGCTGCCATCATCCCCTCCTCCCAAAACAAAAGGTTTGAGGCTGCTTGGGCCCTTCCAGGCCCTTGGTCTGCTTTGTAACGTCTGTGGTGCTCTCCCTCCAGGGCCCTTCCTCTCGGGGGTCACCACACTTTGCTAACTCTTGTGTGCACATCTTTTATAACAGAGTAGCGAGGGAATGGTGCCGCCTGCAGCTTCCATAAGCTGCCTGGGCTCTGGGGGGCTCTGGGACAATCGGGGCTGGGAAGTGACTGTGCTCCTATTGTACACTCCTTATTTCTCTGTATCTCTGGCTTGTGCTCTTTGTAACTAACAGGATTTGTCCGCCTTTTCAACACTATACTAAGCAATAACAATAAATGCACACATGGAAACACAGGCATGGTAAACATCCCAAGGCCTTTTTCCGAAGGACAGCTGGGTCCCCCCTCTCTATGGATTTGAACCTGGGGAAGTTGAGTCTCTGGTTGGGAAAGACATTTTGCTCTAGATCACGTCTTTGAGCTCCCATCACCTGAGGGAATTTCTGTAAGTCATTAACCCATCTCTGAGGGAAGGCTTGGGAGGAAGGGTCTCAGGAAGAAAAGAAGAGTTATTCAAAAGCAAAGTAGCAGGGAGAAAACAAAGAATGGCCTGCTGCCTGGGATAAACTAAAGGAAGAAGATGGAAAGTGTGGACACAGATTATAGGTGGCACCCCTTACAGAGGCAGAGGGAAGCAAAGAGGAGCCTGGTACCCTAGTGTTTTCGTTTACATTCTTTTGCAATGATAAACCACAATGGCCAAAAGAAACTTGAGGAAAGGATGTATTTGCCTTACATATCCCAATCATAGTCCATCACTGAAGGAAGTCAAGGCAGGAACTCAAGCAAGGCAGGAAATAGAGACAGGAACTGAAGCAGAGAATATGGAGGACTGGTGCTTATTAGCTTGTTCCTCCTGGCCTGCTTTGTTATATGTCTCAGAATCACCTACCAACCACAGTCGGCTGGGCCCTCCCACATCAGTCCTTAATCAAGAACATGCCTCAGCAAACTTGCTTAGGGGCCAATTTGATGGATGCAACTACTCAACAAAGTTCCCTTTTCTCAGATGACTCAGCCTTGTGTCAAGTTGGCAAAACAAAACTAAAAGCAAAATTAAACAAAACTAACCAGCACACCTAGTCATTTGAATCCGACAAACCTCTCACAGGAAAGGAAATATGACAGACTAAGAAACAAACATCAAGTTAGATACACAAAATCCTAGCTCTTCACAAGCTGAACTGGTCCCCATGTCAAGTATCAGTGGCTCTGTCTAACTTCCAGACGCAGTTTCAGTTCCAAGGCTCATTTAATCTAACATCAACTTCCAGAGTAGGCATTACAGGCTGAGCATACTGAATCTGAAATCTGGAACTTTCTGAGTGCCACAGGCAGGAAACTCCATACCATCAAACTTTGCTTTGGGCACAAAATTATTAAAAATATTTAAATCCCAACTATGTGTGTAAGAGTATGTAAAGAATGTGAACTTT